TTGTATATGTTATCAAAAATTCGAATCGTATCGCATTTAAACCAATGAAATTCAATACCAACTTAATAATCAACTAGAACTCGTCGTGATTACAAGGGCATAGTTAGATCATAATTTGCATAAGGGTGATCGTAAAAATTACAAAAGGTCGCGAACTTAAAAATTATACTAAAATACAGTAGACCTTTAAATAATATACAATCATTCGATTCTTATTCACGAGATGAGAGCATTGAAATCATCGAAGAATCTTGAAATATTTATTAAGAAGAACTTGTGTATTCAATTAAATAGCGAACGGGGTTTAGCATAAGAAAGCTTCGCAAAAAGCATAGATTATTCAGGATGTTGTCCGATCTCATTCCGAACATTAACCACACTGGTAGGTCAAACGACGATATTTATTCATGACTAAGTTGGGGATAAGCTTCTGTTACGGTTAGCGTATTTCGTAGCTTTAACAGGCCACTAATCGATAAACAAGTATTTCTCTGAGCTAGACAATAATGGAGGGAATAGTTCGGACATAGATACCCTTCATCGAAAGTATTATTTTTCCCTATTCTTTTTTTCTTACGTGCTGTCTCTATTACACTAGAATAGAAAAGATGATCGACTCATAATTCTATATAAACACGGTTATTTTTATTCCATTATAGGGCGGCTCCGTAACGGCTATCATCATCATTATCATCGTCATCGTCATCGTCATTATCATCGTCGTCGTCGTCGTCGTCGTCGTCGTCGTTGTTCTTGTTTTTGCTGTTGTTGTCCTTGTTGTTGGTATAGTTGGTCGTGTTCCTTTAGTTTGAAGTCTGCTGTATAATGGTACGTTCGATGTGTACGAGGCTTTGAAGGTTGCCGACTAAAGGACGAGAATGACCGCAGGGTTCTTTCGAAGGGTGCATCAATGCCACACCCCCTCACTCTTCTGTTTTTCCCATGAAGTTGCTTTAACAGCAGGGGTTAGACGAACCACGTTCATGATACTTTACCATTTTCCTTGCTGGATCCAACACAGCTTTTCGAGAGAAGAAACCCTTCGAAGATACTTACACTCGTAACATTCCTCAAAGTCCATACTTTTTTTCACGATCATTTTGAAAAGAAAATCCTCGACACTCCGTCGAAAAGGCAACCAGAAAAAGAACAAAGACATCGGCGAAAGACCTATCTTCCAAGATTTATTATATAACTCGGATGTCCCCCTTATAAGAAAAGGGACACTCATCCTCGTTTTCTGATTTACCAGAAAAGAAAAAAAAGGGTAGCCTGAGAGTGGTTTCACACGCGTCATTGTGAAAATCTTCTTGAGGGCTTGCTACAGGTGATTCTTTTCTTTTTTTTTTCTTGGCTGGTAATTCCTTTATTTATGTGATTTAGGTACTTACTCGTTTGTTTACATGGATCGTCAACATGTTTTCTTCAAACAACTTTTTTTCATTCCTATACCCTTTAAATATATTTATTGTATTTGTAAGAATAAGATTTTGTACTTTCTTATTTATTTTGCTTGATTTATATTTATTCCTATGAATATCATTAACACCATGATTTGTTTGTTGCTCAGGTTGGCGCTGAGAAAATTTTAAATGACTTCAAATAAGAAAATAACGTGGGTTTCGGTCAAGAAACTAGGAGGGTATAAATTGGTCGTTTGGTCGACTGATTTGCTGGTGGTTCTACCCTGTCTAAAACATATGTCGCGCACTCCTTTTCAAAAGTGTATCTTAGTAGCACGTGACGCCTTTAGGATTCGTCGTATCTCATTTTCGAGTTCTGTCTGTGATTTCTTACGAGTACTACTGTGTGGCATCAAGTAGTATCGCGGAAAACACGGCGCTTACGAGACGCACGTGCCGGAAACGGGACTCTGTCTGTCCTCTTCTTTATCGTTTCTTCTAACCATAAGACATCGTGTGAACGTTCGTACATTAGCCAGATTGCACGAGAAAATAAGAAAAAACAAGGAGGAAAAAAATTATAAAAATAAAATATAGAAGAAGAAGAAAAGGAAAAAAAGAAAAAGAAAAATTTTCATCGACGTCATTCTAGGTGGCCCTTATTCTTCTTCTTCTCCTTTTTCTTCTTCTTCTTCTTCTTTTTCTTTGTCTTAAAATTCAAAGACGAGTAAGAAACCACCTCGTCTAAAAACTCGAATGTTTTTTCGTCAACCCCTCGTTTTCGCTCCCGTGAGTTGCTTTTCTTAAGAGGAAACTCTTGTAAGGTCGTTTCGTTTCGCCAGGAGGTCAACGAAGCTCGAATCTCCCTTTGGGTCTTGTTCTCTCTCTTTTACTCTCTTATATCTTCAAAATTCTATGCTTGAATCGAATCGAGGGTGAAACGATTCGGTTTACATAAATAGAAAAATTCTTATTCTTCATACATATATATAAAAAAAAAAGAAAAAGAAGAAAAATAAATAAAGTGAGACAAGAACTCCTTTGGGGCTATTGAAGTTTAGAACAAAAAAGAGAAAAGGTCGCGCACAAACGCGTTTGAAAAAATATTTTATAGAAGGGAGAAAACTTTGAACGCGCATACAAATACAAATAGAATTTAATTATTTTCGAATCACAATGCTATAATTGTAATAGATGTTAAGACGTAACGAAGTCATTCAATGAATTTAAATGTTTGTATGCTACCGTGTATTTTAATATTTGATCGAATGACGAGGTAATTGTATATTCTTATTATATTTCTTTTCTTTCTTCTTTTTCTTTTTTTTAGAACTTGTGTATGTGTGTGTATCGTATATCAATTTGGATTTCTTATAGTAGTTCGGTAGTAGTAGTGGTAGTTGAAAAAACCTGGTAAAAAGGAAAAACACGCATGGGACTAAAGAACGATCGAATTGCAACAGGAAAAAGACGAAGAAAGAAAATCCACTTTCACAAGTATGTAACTCGCGAGGGAAACCCGACAGAGGGTGGAGAGTATTTTTTACGATAGCGTCAGCGGGTCCATTAATTTTCAAAAGGAAAATCGACGTCTACTAGGTTTAAGGTTACGACATGAGTCTCTCTTTCTCTTTCCCTCTCTCTTTTTCTTTCTCTTTCTCTCTCTCTTTTTCTCTTTTTCTTTCCCTCTCTCTTTCCCTCTCTCTTTCTCTTTCTCTTTCTCTATCTTTTTCGAAGGCCCCATGAGTGAAATCTGAGCTTGTCCCGTTTCTCGTAGACGTAGTTGGTCTCGTGATAGAGAAACGTTGATCGTCCTGTGGACGGTCGTTTCGAAGGATTTTCGAAAGGAGAAGAACATCGAGGGACTCGATGGAAAAGACGGATGTCTCTTCTGGTGAACGATGCATTTAGAATATTCTATAAACTCTCTCCTATGTACACGTTCAAACATGTTACTATGCGCATGCACCGAGTCCTAAATGTTATAATACATAGTTACAACGGGTTTAATTCAATGTCAAATGAAACTTATACCGATGCAAGAAATATCAGATGTAGAAATTAATTATGTATTATAAAAATGAAATATTAAATTTGTTATAGAAAGGCACCGAATTAATTTTTACATCTACGTTTTTCTACGTAACGACAAACTGTAATCAATTCAGGTTTCATATAACCGAGGTGTCGATCCATGCATCATAACAAATTTCAACGTGTAAATACAGGTACTTTGAAAGACTCATTTACGTGAAAAAAAAAAGATAGAGTATATGTTATTTTCAATCTTCTCGGATTGACTTAGTTATCTCGAAACGAGGATGATCGTGCCGCCGTGACACGTAAAGCAAATAAATCCACTTGGACGGTCAGGTAGAAAGGACCTAAGGTTATTCGTATCTGGTATCCTTGGAACTTTATCGAATCTACTTCGAGTTATCGGATTAATAGTAGGTACTTAATGGAATCGATAAGTTGTACGACAAATCTTCGATATCCTTAAGGGGTAGAACTTTACTCGCTCGTAAATTTGATCTTTTTGTGCCATATATGCGATCACATCTTTTTATTTCTTTTTGGTTATCTTATACAGATTCCGCATCATCATCTAGAAGAGATTTTGCTCCCGTACTACTAGAACGAACAGTCGCATAACACAAGAATCTTCTTATCCATCTTCCTGGCACGCATTTTTTGTCTTTTCCTCGACTCCTTTACGGATATTAAGGGCTTTGTATTCACCTTTATAATCGCCACGAGTCAGTTTTTCTTTATGAGTAATAAGATTATCTTCTTCATTCAGTCATTTGATCTCATTAAAGCTTCTACTACTCGATTTATTTGTCGCGATTTCGAATCGCGATACGGTTTAGTCGATAACGAGCTAAGGTTAGCTCGTTCAATGAGATTGCTACGATTTATTTTTATGACCGTTATAATACAAAAATTCCTAATATTTTCTTAAGGGTGCTATTTACTCAGTTAATAGTTTTTAATATTTAGTGTTTACAATAAAATATGAGAATTTAATATAAATAATCAATATAGCACTCGATGTGTAACATATATTTGTAAAAAAAAAAATAGAAAAAATATTATTTTTGTATTTTTCTAGATTAAAAAATTAAACAATTACATTTGGTAAAACCTAAGAGATGCTTAGAATTATTAATAAAATATTTCTACATAAGAAATAAAAATTAATATAAGAACTGTAAATATTTTAAATATTGAGGGTTGCATTAAATATCTGCAAATAAATTAATAACGTTTCTACAAGTAGAAAAAATATTATAATCTAATAGTTTCTTACTATTCAAATAATAAATTATTGGAAATATTTCTTTTTTTAATAATACAAACCTCGACTTTTCTTGTTTCGTCTTTCTTTTTTGTTTTCAAATATTCGAGATGAGAAAAGTAAAAGGGTTCAAAAGCGAAAAATAATACAGGAAATATTTGGGACGTCGGACAGTTTTTATTTTTATTTTCTTTCATCGGTTTGGTGAAACAAAAGTCGACCGAGTCCTTTCCTTTGTCTCGTGAGGCGCACCCTCTCTTCATCTTTCTCTCTCTCACTCGTTCATTCTTTCTTTCTTATTTTCATTCTCCAAGCGCATTATTTACCAGTGACTCGATCCTTCCTACCACGTGGGATATCTTCGGACGAGTAGCTTGAAAAGAGAAAGAGAAAAGACGAATAGAGGGACGAATACGCAGGTGAATAGATGTATGGAAGGATAGATGAACGTTTAGATAGACGAATAGATAGGGCAAACGATGTAAAAGAGTCGTATTTCATGTTCGAAAACAAAATCGTCTCTTGGTAATGTTCTTTTACTATGTAAAATAATAACATATATATTATATTAACATTTAAAAAATAATTAAATCAAAATATTTGGTGAATGTTCCAAACGACTTCGTTATTTTCTGTTTAGTTAAAAGATTTAGCGAATGGTTTTAAGAAAGAAAATTAAAAGAAAAAAAATACCAAGAAAAATTTCCTTATCGTAGAAGTAAAAGGACTAAAGTGGTTTCGACTCTTAAAAAAGGGACACAACGAAAGAGGGTAAAAACATAATGGATAGATAAATAAAAAACGGGTATGGTCGATAAAAAGGACTGGGAGTTGTCTGTAATGACACGTTGCTTTTCCAAAAGGGAGGTAACATAAGTCCAGTAGATTTTTCTAGCCCTTCTTCGTTCCCATTCCTGTCCTGTTACTCTCGTAACCTGGCAATTTCGGTGCCCCATAATCCGCTAGATTGTATCCCGTATTACCTAGAACAGGAATTATCTCGACCATAGGAGAAAGACTGTGGATTTCTAAGAAAGTGTGGGGGTAAAGAGGGATAGGGAAAGAAAGGGAAGAAAAAAGAGGGCCCACACTATTCCGAATTTACCTTCTTTTTTCTATTTTTTTTTAAACGAAAAAGTCTGTTTATAATTCAAAAAGAAAAGATACTCCTCTCCTTCAATTTTCATTTGCGTTACCGCAGTACCTTTCTTCGTCTTTCTCCTCCTACTCTTCCTCCTCCTCCACCTTTTTCTCCTTTTCCTCTTTTTTTCTTCTTTCCTTTCTTTACTTTTCTCGTAGCTATCGAGATAATGACAGAGCTATGTCCCACGGGGTTCCAGGAAGAATCGTGCAACAAATTGCAATCTGGACTCGTAGGATTCAATCCGAGAAAGAATAAGAGAGAGAGAAAGAGAGAGAGAGAGGAATAGAATCCTTTGGTAAATGAATGATACTTTCCAAAATGAAAAAAGGAAAAGAAAGATTATAAAAAAAAGAGGAAGAGAAAGAAAGAGAGAGAGAGAGAGTGAGGGAGAGAGAAAGATAAAGAAAGAGAATCAAAGAAACAGCTGTAGAAGTAGTGCACAGCATAAGGTTCATTATATCCTAACAAACGGAATAAAGTTGAGCCCTTATGTGTGTAATAGTCCTTATCAAAAAGTTAATATTGTCTGATGATATAATAGCAAGCCTGTAGATAAAGCAACTCAATGATGATGGTACGTTAATTTCGAGTTCTTCTCAATTATTAAAAAAGACCGAATGAGAAAGTATAGAAAATGAATAGAGAAGGACTAAAAAAGGAGGAAAAATTCACGAGGGAATTGAAAAATGAAGAAGGGTGCCGTTTAAAGGCGCCATCAGGAGTAACGTAAAAGAAGAAAACCGAACGAACGAACGAACGAACGATTCGATGCGATACGATGCGCATTCTTTGAGCGCCTGCGCTAGGTAATTTGCGGCTAGAGTAGAAAAGAAGGTTTTAAAATTAGCGCTACTATCTTCTTAAGAGTAATGGTCGCATTCTTAGACCTGGTCCCTTTTCTTTCGGTCCCACGCATGCCCTTGAGAGAAAAAGTTGAGTGCTTCTCTTCTTTCTCAGTTTTGTCGTTAAGCATTAATTGAGCTTGGTCTCGGAGAAAGAGATTATAGAGAGGAAACAGATAAAAAGAATAAGATACTGAAAGAGGAATAAAGAGAAAGAGAAAGGAAACATCGTGGTTGTTGAGCTATCCGAGAAACCAAATGAATTTCTGGCCAAGTAACTCTCCACCTTCTTTTCCCTTTCCTTTACCAGTTAAGATTTCTCGGCATCTTGCAGCTTCGAAGGTAAGGAAGGAAGAATCTTTGGCCTGCTGCGGCAGCTTCTTTGGAACCAACCTGTTATTAAGGGACCTCCGACGATTAGATTGCGCTAATGGCGAACCGCTGTCTTCTTCGTCGAGAAAAATCGACCTGGTCTCCCTCTCTCTCTCTCTCTTTTTCTTTCTTTCTTTTTCATTTAACAAGGAAAACGAGTCTTTTTTCCTTTAATTTTTCTTTTTATTATCTCGCACATTTGTCTCCTACCAACATAGATTTATAAGAGGAACGAAAAATGGGGAAAAACAGTAGAATCATTTGAAGGAAAATTTGAAGGACCAAGGTTTCGTGTCAACCTTCTTATTATACTTTTCTCCCTCAGTATCTTTGTAACACGCCTCTTTCTCTTCTTCTTCTTCTTTTTTTTCTTCTTCTTCTTGTTCATCCTCCTTCTCATCCTTTTGCTTCTCCATCTCGCTGATTCCATTAGGAAAGGTCTCCATTGGATCCTTTCCGTCCTCGACGCCGAGAATTCCCTTGCGCGCTAAAGGATTCCTATCCTCCTTCTCCCTTACTCTTTTAAGCACCTCGTATTTCCCGTGGGAACCCGGCAATGCCAACAAAAGCGCACGAAAAACGTTTAATAAATAAATTGATCGGGTTTCTCCCTCATCCACATGGCAACTACCCTTTCTACCTTCTCTCTTCCTGTCAGAATAAGATGAAGAAAAAGACGAATAGGAAAAAAAGAAATTTCTCTCTTTTTCTCTTTCTTTTTTCTCATTTTTTTCTCCTTTTTCTTTTTTTTCATTCCTTCTCATTCCTTTTTCTTTCTTTCTTTTTTAGCAGCTTCCGGAAACACGACACCAACGCGCTGCGACTGGAATCCAACTCACGTTTCATTAGCTTGCTAATACCAGGGAGATGAAAATGTGCACTCGGTTGTGTACTATAGGACTATTATGATATCCCACAATGCCAAAGAACCCCCGGGAACGCGAGTGCTCGCATATGGCACGTTGCGAGATCGGTGTTTTAGGTACGAATGGTAGCACCACGCGTGTGCACTGTTTTGAGTGTACTTCTCGCGCTCCGAATTTCGAGCCTCTCCTCTCTCTAGACGTGATTCTGGGTCAAGTACTACATCACCTATATGTAGTACTTCATGTATACTTACGAAACGTACAGAGAGTGCCTTTGTCACATGTATACATATATTATTTACTAAAAGTTTCAAATCACTAGGTAAATTCCAAGAAATAAGATATTTTTTTAAGTAAAAATGAATTTATTTAAAGTAATCGAGGTAGATTAAGTTGTTCAAAAAAATTCATGAATGTTATGGAATCTCCGAATATCCGATGATTTAATATTTAAATGTTCTGCTGTTATCAGGACACTGTGTATACGCTTTCCTGCTTGTGTCATATACTAAATAAATACTAAATACTATAATAAATATGTAGGTGTTGTATAAACATGAGTACGAATGCATATTGTATAGTGTTCTCTAAAAATGTGTCCAATCTTTTCCAACTAAACGAAAAACTTATAATTCGTTGTAAATATATGATCACCGATAGACAGGTGAAAGGCTTTAATTATATTGTTCTCATTCTGGAACAATAAGTTATCTCAATTTAGCTTTTTTACTACGATCTTAATTCCCTAGGTATTACGTCGAAACAACTTAGTATGTAAATACGTATCTAATCGTGTGCGTGTGTTCTAAAGAAACAAAACACAAAAATACTCTGAAATTATCATATCTCTCTCTTTCTCTCTCTTTATCCCTATTCGTTCGAGTGAAGACAATAGGGCACATGCCCAGATATATGCATCCAGTACTCTTGCGAATGCAACTTAGCCATATGCGTTGTTCGTCATACAACATACAACTCTTAGCCACGAGAAATTCTCTATCCAGTCGAAAGGCTTATTGTGAGGGTGACGGTTTATGACTTAGGATAATGATAATAATAATAATAATAATAATAATAATAATAATAATAATAGTGGTAGTAGTAGTAATAATAATAATCGGGAAAAGCTAAACTCGCGAAAAAGCACCCTGGAAATTCTCAATCCGACGTATGCGTGTCTTGATTTGTTGGTGGTGATGATGGTGATGATGGTGGGGTGGTTGTGATGGTGCTATTACGCGGTAGTTTGCGAATCGTTTTTCTGGCCGGCTGCTGAAGGGAGGCATTGTAAGGAATGAGAAAAGCAGAGGGTGAGACGTATGAGGAGAAAGGGAGACTTCGTTATATTCTATATGTGTTTACTATACACACGTATATTTACCGATGACTATACACGATGGTGTATTTTGGTGGTGGTTGTGCGCAACCGAGCGACACAATTGTGAACGCCGCTTGTGAACGAACGGCGAGTAACTCGAGTAGGTACTCGTCGAGGCTCCACTCTCTCGCTGCGGGATATGCATTTGTGCAACAGGCTTTATATACGTCCGTTGCGCTACTTATGCAATCGCGAATCGCCCTACCACCACCACCACCACCACCACCATCATTACCAACACAACTATCACTATTACAGACGATGCCGCGAGCGCCTTCTTCTCTGGGTTTCAATGAACCTCGGCTACCTACTATATGCTACTACTATTGCTTTGACTTCGAATAGCTTGGTTACTCGATAGCTAGAAGAAACTTGAATGAGATATCTTATGAAAGAATACAGTCATTTTAAATAATGTATTATTATTATTATTATTATTGTTATTATTGTTATTATTATTACTATTAAATCCAATTCAATATAAAAACGAATACAAACACGAATTTTATTCACGACAGTTTTTATTAATAGCACTATTCTTTTTATATTTGTATATTCTTTCTTTTATATTGAACGTAGTAAAATATTATTTTTAAAAGAAAAATACATCGCGATGAGAATCGCGTATATTTCTTTACCGTCGTGTGCTAGCATATATATTTGATTGAAATTATCGGAGCAACATCGGTGGTATTCGAACGAGCTCGAACTGCGTAATTAACATAATTAATATCCAGTCGACGAGTACCTCCCACGGTCGGGTACGAAGCGAAGACCTTTTGGTAACTCAGCGTGTGGTTTTACCTGAGGAAAGAGATAGGTAGTAATACCTGATTCGTATATACGTTGTAGAAGAGTCGAGAGATCGAATGGAAGGGTGAAAGAGAAAGAGCGGAAGAGTTCTGAAAGAGGGAAAAAAGGAGAGGAGAGCGCAGGGAGAACTCGAAGATACGAATGAGAGTCACCCCCTGGTGCGCGAACGAACGAGTGATCGATAGTCCTCGGAAAAGTCGGATTAAAAGACGGATTGCTTTCCTTTAGTCCTTTAGAGGTTACTACTCTCTCCCTCTCTTTTTTTCCCTTTTCTCTTTTTTTGTGTTTGTCCTCTCTTATGTAGTCCTGCATAGTCGAAACTGTGAGAAAAAAAAAATACGAACGTTGCATCTCTTCTTTTTCTTTTTTTTTCTTACAAATCTTGATTCTTTTTTTCGAGGGAAAGGGGAGAAACGATATGTCCACAGTCACAAAGAGAAAAAGAAGAAAATACGTGGAGGAGGAAAAGGGGAAGAGGAAGAAGAATGGCGAAAACCTGAAAACCTATATTCAACCCACAGGTGCGAATTTCGTCCATTTCGCGCATCACCGAGGTCAGTCTCTCTATCTTGCAGCTGCAGGCTTCTACTACTACCACCATTTTACTTCGGTCATCTTCTTTCTTTTTTCTTTCTTCTAGTATTCTCCTTTTACTTTTTCTTTTCTCTATCTTTATCTCAGCAAAACTGAGAACCCAAGGAAGAGGAAGATGAAGAACAAGAAGAGTAGCTCCCATGTCGTGTGGCCAAGGAAGCAGTTAGGTTTCTCTGTTTTTATCTCTTTTCTTATGTCAAGAGGGCCGAAGACTGCTCTCTTGACGGTCTCCATAGTCCAGCGATGGATTACAGATCCCTTGCACAATACTTCGACCAACACCGGGCCCTTTGTGCTTGGCCGGCTCGTATTATACCTTCTCTTTGTCCTTTTCGCCCTACTTCTTCTCCTTTCACTCTCTCTCTCTCTTTTTCTTTCTTTCTGTTTTCCTTTCTTTCTTCTTTCTACTTCTTCTGTCTCTTTTACACAAGAAGTATATATACAGTACAGGCCAGAAAGATCTATTCGCTCTTAATTCGCTCGTCAGCGTTCACAATAGGCCCACGTTTTCCAGCTTGGTAAACAAAACTATGAAAAACATTCACCTTATGGGGTACTAAATTTTTCTCTTGTTTGAAAATACGTCTCTTTTCTCGCTTGACTAGTCGATTCCTTTTCTTTGCAATTTCCTTTTTCTTTTTTTTCTCTCGTTCATCTTACATTTCCTCAACTAGTATAACTACCGAATTTGGGAACATCTGTTAGGATTTGTTCACTGATGTAATCATTTTTAAATACCTTATGTTGATCAATAGATATTTAAAAGAATATAAAAACTAAACGAAGTAACAGAAAAAAAAATAAAAAGTTAACGTATTCATTCGTGAATATTTAATTTTGATTAGATGAAATAAAAGCGTCTAAATATCGAGGGGAGTATGAAACAAAAAATTGAAAAAAATTTTAAAGTTTCCATTTGCGAATATTTAATGTTGATCGGATGATATTGGAAGTAATAAGGAGAAAAAAAATGTATTGAAAAAATAAGCAAAAAGGATAAAAATAAAAAATAAAGAGAATAACTATCTTAGAGTATATCTGTCTCTATCCTTAAAGGGTTTTCAATGTGATTCATGTCGAGTGGCCGAGCTCGTCGAGTTACCTCGTATATCTCGTCAAACGTCCTTCTAGGAGCCGCCTCCCGATCGATAGATTTCCATCAAGCGCCTATCTATCAGTTTTAATTGATGCCGCTCGATTTACCTCTTCGAAGGAGAGACTCGTTCCGGAGCAACAAGAGAGCTAGCTCCATCTTCTTCTCTTTTCCTCTTTCTCTTACGAATGTACATCTTCCTTGTGTAATTCTTTGGACGATCGGAAAGAGAACGCAAAGAGTCTTCTGTTTCTCTGCTTACCGATAAACAGTCGATAATAGAAGCAAAAAACTTAGGTAAGTAGCTGCTCGTGACTCTTTATCTCTTTAATTATTTATCTATATTTTATTATTTTATCTTTCTCTCATTCATGGAATTTCGTATATTTTCTTCTTTCATGAAATTTACACGGGGAAAGGGGATTCATGAAATTCATGGTAGACTATCGTGGGTACTCTTATGAATGAGCCATATGAAATTTAAATCGAAGCTTGTTTTAAGAGACAAACCTTTTGAATTCAGCGGACACTTCGACCACAGTCTCTCTCTCTCTTTTTCTCGCTTTCTATCTTTCTCTTTCTCTCTTTATCTATCTATTCATCGTTCCATCTACCTTTTCACACGGCAACGAGCAGTCGTTACTTGCGAAAGTTCGAGGCAAGTTTAAGCCAGCTAGTACGGGCAACCTCACTCGTGAAAACACCCACGTGTCGTCGCGCACCGGCTGGGAAAGAGAATAAGAAAGAGACAGTGACTGTGAAAGATAGAAAAACACAGTTGGGTCTTTCAAAAACCGAATGTTTACTTCCCGGAAGTCGGGGAAAACGAACGAGTCAACTTGCAACGGAAGCTTCCAGTCTAGAAATCTTCGACGATGACGTCGATGCATTGCAATAAATATTACGAGTAACACTGCGTGACTAACCGTTTATCTGTCTTTCACTCTCTCTCTTTCTCTCTTTCTTTCTTTCTTGTCAACGAAACTGGGTCGATTAGCGATCAGACCAGCTCTTACGTACACACAAATACAATACAATTCAAAAGTTTTAAGGGGACACGTCACTTTGGAGTGTATAAAAAAAAAAGGTTTTTTTGTGAATTTTTTATGCAGCCGGTTTTATTAGTATAAATACAAAGTTTTGGTATATGAAAGTTATATATTTGAACTATATTTATAAATTTTTTTGTGTAAAAATATGGTAAATTGTGTTGTCTTTGGCCACTCTTCCAAGAGTCCAAAAAAAGGTGATTTGCGGTTGCCTTCACTGACAAAAATTGGTTCATTCGAAAAAAAAAACCGAGTGTTTTGTTTTAATTGAGATGTTCGGCAGGGAATGAACGAAAGGAAATTTTTATTTTTTTTTTAAATAGTGGACTTTTTACGAAAAAATTGACTTTTTTTGCAAAAAATCACCGATTTTTCGAAAAAAAGAATTTGCATTTTTTCAAAAAAATCTTCCGTTCATTCCCTAGATACTCGTATTTAGTATTACTGTACAAATTTTGGTAAAGATCGGATGAATGGTCTGGACGCAGCGAGGGTAACCGATTTAAAAACGCGAATAGGAGAAATAAACGGATAAAGTTAAGATAACTCTTGCATTCATATTTACATTGAATCATCGATTCCAGGGCAATAAGAGGTTCCCTCTGCTGCATCAGCAGCCTCTGCAGAAGTGACTTTCGATTGCCGTCGAGCTTTTCTCGCCTCCTTCGTACTTTCTTGAGTGCGCTTGTATACTTGTATACGCAGATTCTCGTATACCTGTTTTGGCCGCGCTACGGCGCGCTTCGCTTAAACTAGTACAATTTCGTAAATAATGCGCGGATCTTTACGAAAATTTGAAAGAATATTTTTGAAATAACATTCTTTCAGAAAACCGAGAAAAAAAATCGATTTTCTGGGTGACGTGTCCCCTTAAGTCAATTCAAAGAAATACGAATACTATTTAGGATAACTGAGCAAGATTTATATATTATAAATACTAATGAATGAATAGAACCTTCACTATTCAACGATATAGTATTCGAACTTTGTGCTATTCGCATATACATCGAAAATAAAAGCTGCATTCATTTTCAACGATAGCTTGACATAGTCTGCATCCTAGATAATTAGATTTTTCGAGTATTTTTAATTTATTATTTTTCTGATTCTTGTAGAAATTACCGAAGATGTTACGGAAAAAATGTTCTGATTGTGAGTGTATAAATTTTGGATGATTGTTATGGACATAAGGATATGATGAAATATTTTAAAAGATAGTTTAAATTGTTTGATATTTGATCATTTAAAAATTTATCGGTGTTTTTGATTTTTATAGAAGTCGACACGCAATTCTAAATTTTTTACTGGCAGTGTATAATTATGAATATATGCGGGTGTATATGCGTGTTACTTATTCCCGCTATTTCAGACGCGATAATCAACGACGATTCGGGCTGAAAGATATTCACGAATAACATCCGCGCACACAAATAGTTAGTTCTAGTTGGCGCATAAATACATTTACTTGGCGAACGTGTAATCGTATAATTATAGAGATGAATCATGTTTGAGTAAGGTCGATGTAATACATTTCTTAACGTTAAATTTATGACTCGATATCGGATG